GCATTCTGATGCTGATTTTGCCCAACACTATGCCAACATGATGTTCATGTCTATGGACTTACACAATAACAGGAAGGTTTCTCTCAAGCACTTGAAGTATCTAAGCCACATAATAGTAACAGTTTGAAGTCTGTTAATATACCACTGTTTGAGAGGATGACAAAATAGGACCTAAATAATTTCTTCAAATGTTTCAAATAAATTTGCCCTGGAATGGCTAGCCTCAGGGGCGGGTGATGCAATGCTTGATGCTAAGACCAGAAGTTTTAGTATTCGATGTCTTGGGATGCATAAATTGGTTGTGATCATCATTGAGTTGTGTTACAGTTTCAACGATATGGAGAACTAGGTAATTCATAAAGCTGAGTTCAAAGTTCAAAGGTGAGGGAGACTTAAGAGAACTAGGCCACTTATGTGGATGATTTGAGGTAAATGTATAAGACAGCTTCCCCAAGCATGTCACTCCTGAATTGTAAGAAAGTTGTCATTGAAAAGATTATGAAGGAATAACTGAAAAGACCAATGAGGAACCACATGAGTTTCAGGGCTTTGCACTTCTGACAGAGGTGTTGTGGATATTTTTCTAGGATTCTATATCAGACAAGAGGATTTTCCAAGCCCAGATGCCATAGCTGCACCACTACAGCAGCAGAAAAAACCCTATAATATGTTTAGCATGTTAGGTAAAAATAACATGTTTCAACTGTGGCTAAGAATTTCGGAATTGTCAATATCTTATTGTTGAAAAAAATAAGGAGAATAGACCCCATTCAAGCAGGAAGGTCAATGGTGAGAAATAGCGTATTTAAAGTAGTGGAAATATAATTGGGTCTAAACATTAACTTGAGCAAGTATGACAGTTAACGTGTCCCTAGAGATGTGGTGGATGTTTTGGACAACCATAGGATCAGTATCACATAATGTGTGTTGTTAATGATACATGGCCATGAGACAGTTCCTGTGGTAAAAGAAACAACCAGGACCTTACTTGGCCATGCACTTCAAGTGAAACCATGCCTTCATTCAGTTAACATTAATTATATTCTATCAAACATTAACAAGTTAAGTATGAGCAAAAAGGAGCATCTCCAATTTAGGATTGACACTGTTACTCACCAAATGATGCTAGTTGTTTATGATTTTAGTTAAGGTATTTGTGTATTAAAAATGGAACTATTGTAGAAGTTATCAGTCAAGTGAACTTCAGTTCCGAGAAAAGACTATCCAGTTTAACCAAACTGGGCCTCAGGTCTGTAAACTGAATGGGTGTCATGCTGAGTAGCAAACTGTGGTTTACCTGAACGTGCAAGTGGTTTCCTATAATTTGTTGTGAATGCAGAATAGTGCATTGTCATCATATGCTGTTGCTGTAATAGAGCCAATATATTATTTTCTGTCAATAAATGAAACTGCACTTACTGAAACAGTTATCTTTCCATGTGTTTTTGTTGTGTTGATTTATGATTATAAACAGCTAATCAACTTCCAATTAAAATGGTCACCGGTGCAGTAACGTAAGTGTCACGGCTGTTTACCGTGTCTGAAATAAAATGCATTGCTACCTGAGAAACTAGTTGCTGACTTATTATTGCGCTCACATTCTGGATCAAAACAGTGGTAGAACTCAGTGAATAGCTCACAAAGTTGACGATGTTTTTTTGTGAAATCAGATGGCATTCTAGATGAGAAAGCAATAACACACCATGACCTAGATACCAGTAATGCATATCCAATAAAACAACTGCAATTCAGACTGTCCTCAAATGCTAGGGACATAGCCAGAACTGAAATCCAGTTAATGCTGAAGAATAGGTTACTATAACCTTCAGAGTCTATGTTATCATCTTCTATGTTATCACTAAGAAGAAGGGGTGAGGGAATATAAAACTTTTGTGTGATCTTTAGATAGATCAATGTTGTTACACATGTTACTACCTTTCCTTTAACTGGGGTAGGGGAATTTCATTCTGCTTTTTTTGTTACAAGTTTCCAGCCACTGCTGACAATCTAAAAATGGTGTTTCAGCATCTCGAAGATACAGGATTGAAACTGAAACAAGGAAAAGGAGGTATTCAGAACAAAAGAGGCTAGCCAGCTGATATTATAAGAACAGAAAACAAGAACCCCCTTTATGTTCACCTGGATTTGTTTCTCATTTTCGAGTGTAATTTCTGATTTACTCTCCTAAATACATTTCCTTTCAAAGTTCCTGCATTACAGTCTTATAACTTACCTATTGATTACCTGTCCATACCATAATGTTTAAAATGATTAATATGCTTATAAAACAAGCTACTACACTTAGGTTACCCACTGCGCGGACTGTTTGGCAGGTGAATGTATAAATACTCTAAGTAAATCGTTAAGTTAACCTGAGGAAATCCTCAATAGCCGCGGTACTTCAAATTATTTTAGGAGGGATTATAGTAAATTAATCGACGCGACCTTTTTATCCTTTTTATTAGCTATATTTTTGCGCGCCAGCAATAGCTAGTGTGGGGCGCGCGTATACACGATTCGATTTTATTACTCATCATGACCTCTATCAGCCTACCCTCAAATAGAAATATTATTTTAGGTAGGATTAGTGTAAATTAATCAATGTATGAGACTCTGTGCGTGGTCATCAGTGGAAAGGGTTTGACCTCCTGAGTCCAAAACTGTAATTAGATCTCAAATCGACCAAGAGGTGACTGGAGCTATGAGCTAAATGTTTGTACTTGAAAAAAAACAACAACAACTCAGAGCCATTCTATGGGCCGCTATGCCGCGGCTAATAAACATTAGCTGATTATCTGACAAACGTAATAACTTCCAGTGAACTGAATAACTATACTCGATCATTAATTCAGTCAGTCTTCCTCAATTCTCAACTATTCGATCATCCATTCGTATATTCATACTGAAAACTCACTTCTACTAAGTGCGGAAAGTTTCTATTTATACTGGGACTATATTGTTGCGTCAGCGAGGTCAGGTGACTAGTGTCACGCCACTCGTTCTCTCGAACCTTCGTGAATTGTCGGGAGATTACTAGATATAGTGTTAGTCTTGTATATATATAAGACGCTCACAACGTG